CTGTGTTGACACTGCTAATGGTAGTAACCATGCTAACCAAGCTAACAGTGATAACATAGTTAACAATGCTTAAGGGGTTTTGCAGCTCAAAATTTAGCTGCTTACTCAGCGGGATGAATTGGAGGAGACCGGAGGTAAATATTCACCTCCTGGGCACTGCCAAGGGGCCTTGAGCAAGGCATCAAACCCCCAAGTGCCCAACCCAAGTCGATCCCCCCTTGCTCTGACATGTCTCCATTCAATACCTGTACAGGTCCTGTTTGTGCATGTGTGTGTCTTTCGGGCCTGTGTGTATATGACAACAGAGTCTATCTATCCATTGTCAAAGGCAATCCGAAGCTGGGTTGCGGGGGCAGCAGGGGGATCTCAAGGCGTTGCCTGGCCAGATGAGATATGTCTCCCGTGATCCTGGGAGCTGTGTTGTCCGGGGCTAATAGCCACTGGTAGGGTCTCCCAAGACAAACTGGTCCCATCCAACAGGAGAAATTTGGGGTTCAGTATCCTGCCACCAGTCTTCCAGTTAGTGGACGAGCCACTCTACCTCCTGAGCCACGTGTTACCGGCTCACGCTTTTCCCCTGTAATGGCAGTGGCCTTGTGGGTAACCTGTGAGTGTGTGATGTGTCCTTCATTGCGGAGGCAAGCAGCTCTCTCTCGGGTATGTCATGGTGAAGATCGCATGCAGCAAAGAATGATAATAGTCAGCAGAATTAAGTGTCTAGATAAACTCAAGGCTACTGTTCAACCGCACGAGAAGGCCAAGACTGCAATAAAGCCATTGTTGGTGGACAGCACCCAAACGCCTTGCTATCCTTCCTTCAGTGGAGTGGTTGGGACCACTAGAAGCTAGTTACCAGGGAATAATGAGCCAAGTTAAATTAATGCAAATAAGCCAGCATGTTCCCACCTGCAGTTCAAAGCCAGTAAGAAGTCACTGAGAGAGGTAACACATGGCTGTGGCTGAGCAGCGCCGCTAGCTAGCTCCCACCAGACCTGAACAGCGTGCAGCACGGTAAAATGAAGAGAAGCAGAATTAACCTGCTTAAAAACCTTTGTTTTGTGATAACGGGTTGATTATCTCATTATCTTGACATGACTACGCTCATTTTCTTGAGATAAAATAATTAACTTGTGATCTCGATATAATGCCTTTAAAAAAATAATTTCAAGCACAGCCACTCTTAACTTCTGTACCTTTATCTTCTCACTGACTAACTACAAATTCCAATCACTCTCAACCTGTGTGTCACAGTGATTCAGTATGTGGATATCTATTTCTAATTCCAATCATATTTTCAAATTTTTTCCTCAAATTTACTGAGCTACTTAACAATATTTCCACACACCCCCTGGGGTACATGCACCTTTGGTTATAAATCCCAGTTCTAAATGATTTTTCCACACCAGTTTATGCTGCTGATCAAAGCTGCTGATTTTTCAATCCATGTTCACACTGAGACAGGGAAAATATATTTATTTTCCGTTGCTAATGACTCCCCATCTGCTTGTGGCATGTGGATTGGCACTGTGCTCTCAATTCCACTCAGCAACTGGGCGCAGATCACCCAATCATAATCCCAGGAGAGTATTTCAAGCAAACAGGTTCACGCTGTACTGTTCCATTCTTCTGTGTAGACTTTGGCAGTGGCAGCGCAGAACTGTCATTTCAACATCCATCATCTCACTCATCCCTGTTTTGTTAAATTTTCCTGCACTGTCTCTCTCCTACCAGTGCTGCACTCCTTTCTCTTTATTCCTCATTTTCTATATCAAATGAAACACCTGTTCCACACCTGTTGCTTCGTCTTTGATTTAATCTACATAAACACGTCATCTACTACCGCTCCGTGTGTCAGGCCTTTTTGAAGAGCCAGTAAAAACAAATGTCAGGAGTGATTTGAAGTCTGAACAAGTGTTTCCCTCCCACACATTAATTATATCATCACCAGCAGCGGTTCCCATGTAGTGTCAGCGTGTCTGGTCATGAATCTCGGCTTACCTGTTTGAGTGATGGGATCATGGGAACCTGTGAGAGTAGATTACACAACGCTGCTGCGGTTTGAATCTTGTGAGGTCTCCTGATCTAATCGTTTATCAGCAAAGTGCAGTCGTGCATTTAAATACATGCAAAATATCAATGCAAGATTGATGTATGTATGCGCTGACAGAACATGCTGACAAGTGAAGAGTTTTAAAGCGAAATTGTGAAACTTTAAAATGAATTATCATTACATTATATCTGAGTTTTCTTAAACCACAACTGGATGTTTTAAAGACTCCAATCCATCCTCTAATTAACATATAAAGTAGTTTTCAAACATCTCTAAAGTCTTGCTAAGATATCATCCAAATGTGTTCTTCACCAGCATCTAAGATCTCAAGCAAGCATAAACTGTTTATATAAAGCAGATCAACAAAATATTTTAATTCCCATGGAGGCAAGTGGGGTGAAATTATTTATTTTTAGCAGTGACATGATCGCTGAGCGTTTCGAGTTGTTCAACAGTGAAAGGTTCAAGGCACTGATGGCCAAAATCTCCCCTGCCAAAGTGTCCTTGGTCCAGAAACTAAATCCTTATCAGCTCCCTGTTCTGACCTCTGAGCTCTGACCTCTGCTAGGAGCAGAAGAAAAAACTCACATAGATAAATAAAGTGCTGTATTATTGATATAACACGTATGCATGGATGGACTACTGAGAGGGCCTACTGGGCACAGCGCCAGGGGCCCAAAGTGTCAGGCACACCAACCCCCTGCAGTCATATTAACCCGTACTAATCAGGAAGACCTAAAACGACCTAAAGATGCAAAGGTCATGCAAAGAGATGTACAATAACTACTTAAAGGCACAAAACATACACAGACACAAAACAATAAGACAGAAAGTACCACAAAAAAGAGACCATATAGAACACTTAACAGCCACAAGGAGACACACAATAATTGGAAAAGGCACGAAAATACCTCAGAGACACACAAATCAAACACAAAGAGACAAAAACAAACAAAGTGACACAAACTTAGTCAAAACACAACCAAAGATAACACAAAATGGCCACAAAGGGACACAAATGTACCTTAAAGAGACACAAAATGACAAAAAACCCCACAAAATTACCTCAAAGACACATAAAATGACCAAAACTTACACAAAAGAGACACAAAATGACAACAAAGAGACAAAAATGTACCTTATAGAGACACAAAATGACCACAGAGACACAAATTAACTGTAAAGAGACACAAAATGACAAAGAAACCCCACAAAATGACCTTAAAGACACACAGAATGACCAAGAGTTACACAAAAGAGACACGAAATGACAACAAAAATGACACAAATTTACTTTAAAGAGACACAAAATGACCAAAAAAATCCCCCACAAAATGACCACAAAGACCGAAAAATTACACGAAATAGACACAAATTACAAGAAAGATTTGCAAAAGAACCATAAAGTATCCGCCAACACATGCAAAACAACCAAAAAAAGACACAATATTACTTCAAAGAGACACTAAACAACAGCAAAAGCGACTAAACCACCACAAGCCTGAGTGTCTTGCTCCTGTTGAGGAGAGATGGTGTGGCCGTCTGCGTGTCTGTGCCCAGCGGCCCATTGTCTCATAATCCGCCCTTGCACCTATGAATAAATCATATTTCCAATATGAGATGGGGATAAGTGCACAAGTGTACAGTTTCAAGCCTTTTTTTTATTATAACTAAAAAATAAAAATATTTTTAAAAAATGGTCCTTTGTCTGGGAAATGACAGGATTTAATAACAATAATAATAATAATACATTTTATTTATAAATGCCTTTCAAGACACCCAAATAAAAGCCAAAAAGTGCTGTAGTATTTGCTATAAGTGATAGGGATAGACCGATATGGATTTTTTAGGGCCGATGCCGATACCAATTTTTTTCCATCACCCTTAGCCGATGACCGATTATGGACTGCCGATTTTCTTGAGCCGATATTTGGGGCCGATATTGCTTTTGCTCCCTCAATTTACATAAAAAAAAAATGACACAATGATAACAAATATTACAGGTTTCAAGTTTAAAATAAGAAACATTTATTGAACAGCAAAAAATACTGAAACAAAATGGAAAGTTGAGGTAGAACAGGTAGAATATCATTATTATTATTATTATACATTCAAATAAAAAAGAGTTCAGTGCTCTTAAATCTTCCAGTAATGTCTTTATAAAATAAACAAATATTTAAGCTGAAGCATAAATAAAACAACAACTACTGTATACAGTAGGATTCAACAGCTTTGTTCAACTTAACCACATACTTTGAAATGAAAAAAACTGCCAGGGAAAAATAAATCCGCGAACCCATGCGTGTATCGGCCGATGTCGATACAAGTAAAAAACTCGAAGGTGCAAAAAAGGGCAACTACACATGATTTTAATTAGCTAAAATGCACCCTGGCATTGGCATATGGATGATTGCATACAATAGTGCAGTGTAACAGCAGAGGTGTTGATGCTGATGTGATGTATGAGTGATATGAGTAGCAGACAGGCCTGTGTGTGTGTGTGTGTGGGGGGGGGGGGGGGGGGGGGGGGGGGGATATGTCTGATATTTGGCAGCCTTACAGTAGACATAGTATCAAACAGTTGGAGCCAACGCTGCTACTTGTTTTCACAGCAGACGGTGGTCAGACGAGACCCTGTTGACACATGAGGGAGGCCCGGGATGATGCAGTCCATCCTGCGAGTGCCTGGTACTTATATGGTCATAAAAATCCTTAGTATGCACATACCTCTCTCATTAAACACAGCTTTATCTGCGCCCCGGCTCTGCCCTCCCTCCTCTCAACTCTTTCAAGTTCAGCTCTTTCTGCTCCCCAAGCCCCGCCCTCCCTACACTTCATCCGCGCTTCTGATTGGCTCAAAGTGTGCGGAGTATCAAAGCGCAGCTGCGATTGGTTGAAGGGGCGGTGCACACGGACCGGAGCCCGCCTCGCGCTGGACCGCACCCCGGCTCCGGCTGCCTACGTACCGAGTGAATTTACGCGAACCAGTGAGCAGCTCGAGGAGGAGGGAGGGCAGAAGGAAGAGGGGGAGAGAAAAAAAGATAGAAAGAGTGAGTGGAGCAGAGAAAGAGACGGAGGAAGCGAGTAGTTTAGCCTGAGCTCTCTGCGAAGCTGCTGTCGACGGGGAAAGAAGTTTGACTCACGGCGACGTCACCGGTTGTTGTTAGCCACCCCTCTGAAAGGCACCGAAAAAGCAGGTAATAATTTCCACCTTGGGCACTTTTTATCCGCCATGCTTTCTCCCTCTCTGTCCCTCTGTGGACTCTTTCATAACTCATTCAATCTGCCGTGTCACTCCAGCAAGTGCAGTGAACCAGGAAGCTCCGGCTGCAACTTCAGCAACCGCGATGGGTGGAGTGGGAACTGATTCAAACCGGGATTTATTTAACTCTTCAACAACCTTAACTACATTTTAATCACCGTAAAGTTTCAAACAAAAGGCGCGTGTGTGATATTTGTCGCCAAGTTCAGCAGCAGCACGGTGGCAGCTGGCGACAAGCTCAAAGCCATAACGGTAGAGACAGGAAGTGATTCGGTTGAATGAGTTGCAGAAAATGCCGGTTGAAGAGTTTGATGGGAAATTAAAGAAAAGTTAATTTTGAGTGTGTGCACGCAAACTCCTTCGTGGACACAGGGGTGTGTGTGTGGGATTAATTTGTGTCTCTTGAGTTGAACTTTTCGGTTTGGTCAGAAACGGACGCTGTGTGTGGCCAGTAACATGTCTGGCTCGCGGCATGACGTCACTGGTTTACCGGTGGACTGAAAAAAAACGGCGCCGTGCTTCTTCATCTGCTCCTGCACCGTCCAGCTCGACCTCACTGAACCGTGACATCTGCCTTACTGTCTTACAATGGTGCAAAGTAACTGAGTACATTTACTCCAGTACAGTTTTGAAGTACTTGCACTTGAGTATTTCCAATTTATGCTTCTACTCCAAAGCGTTTGGTGGCCAAATATTGTACTTTTACTCCACTACATTTATTTCATAGCTTCAGTTACTAGTTACTTTAAAGATTTATGATGTTAATGTTAATACAAAATATTAGGGATGCACGATACTGGATTTTTTTTTTTGCTGATATCCAATATGCCACCAATGTCAATACATCCACCTTTTCCCTAACTAATTTTGATAATCATCAAGTCTCTTCTGTAGGGAAATTGACATCATATTATGCATGCATACTCTTATCATGATGGCCCACCAGCAGATGGAGACATGAAATACATTACTTTTCGATGTATGTAATATTTATTCATTGCGCAAAATAAGAAAAGACACAATGGCCAATTTTAAAGCCGATGTTGGCCATTAGCGATGACTTTCTCGTAAGTATTTTCAATTTATGCTACTTTATATTTCCACTCCAATACAATTCTGGGGCAAATATAGTACTTTTTACGCCAGTACATTCATATGTTGGCTTTAGTTATGTCGCAGATCTATGTTAATACAAAATATGTCATTTTATTACAGGTAAAGGTACCTAGCATTATAAAAAGTAATTAAAATGAGCTCCAACCTTTACTGGCTGCAACATGAAATTGATCAATAATTGTAATCCAGTAATACAATTTACATAGTTGTGAAACGGGCCATGCTGCATAGAGAGTGCTTTTATTTTTGGTGCTTTAAGTATACTTTGATACAGGGGCGTAGTCAGTAGCTGTCTAAAACAAAATTATATGCTGAACCGTGGCATCTGTTTTTCTTTCCTTTTAATGGTGGAAGGTAACAGAGTATATTTACTCAAATACATATTTAAGTACATTTTGAGGTACTTAACTTGAGTATTTTGAATTTACGCTACTTATACTTCTACTCCAATACATTTAGGGGCCAAATATAGTACTTTTTACTCCACTACATTTATCTGTTTTAGTTACTTTGCAGATTCATGTTGTTAAAACAAAATATAAGTGCTGCACGATATTGGATTTTTTGCAGATATCCGATAAGTCGATATATAACAACTTATTTGACCAATACTGATATCGATGTAGCCACTTTTTAAGTCTCTTCTGTAGGGAAATTGACATCATATTAAGCATGGATACTCTTATTGTGATGCCCCCCACCAGCAGATGGAGACATGATATACAATACTCAATGTATTTTATATTCATTAATTGTGCAAAGTAATAAAAAGCATTTGTGCCAATTCTAATAATAATAATTCTAATATCCATTTTAAAAGTCAATGTTGGATGATACTGATGATGTACCGATTTATATCAGAGTGTTGGCCAATTCTGATACTTCATTTTAAAACCAATATTGGCCAATACCGATGACATGCTGATAGTATCGTGCATCCCTACACAATATGATATATTATTACAGGTTAAGGTACCCAGCTGTATATAAAGTAATTCAAATTTGCTCCACCTTTACCAGCCGCAACATGATCCATGATGATTATAAAGCATTAATACCATTTACATCATTGTGAGTATGAGTATTTACAGGGATGTGAATATAGACTGTGCAGGCGGTGCAGTTGCACTGGGGCCCCTGGGGTGGATTGGCCCATAGAGAGAGCGGGTCCTTGCGAGTGATTCAGACCTTTTGCATTCTTTATAAAGCACTTTTTGGATGTGGTATTTGAATGCCTGATATGAAGGCCATGTTTCCAAATGAAGTTTGACTTATAGTTACTTTCAGCCCAGGGTGCATAGTACAAAAATGCAGTTTTGACTAGTTCAGAACAGACTGGAGGGACTTTATGAAAATTATCCATTGAGGGTCTGGTCCGATGAGTCAAACAGGAGAAAGCATTTTACAGAAGTTAGTTAGGCATTGGTTGTTACATCGGCAAACCAGATTTTAGCCAGAAATGATTCCTGGAATACACAAGAATGCCAGCTGAAAATGACCAGGTTTGTCTTGTAATTACAGTGCGGTCCACTGTGATGAACATCAGCCAGGCAGCACGAGAGTTTTCCATGATGATTTTATGGGATATATCAATATCAAGCCAAGTTAAGACAGTTTTATTTATATAACCTGAAGTCACAAGTTACAAATTTGCCTCAGAGGGCTTCACAAACTGTAAAACACTGGATACCCCTGGTTCAGAAAAAGAAAAACTGGCTATGGGGCTAAAGGTAGTAACCTCGGGAGGAGCAACAAAAGAGGGATCCATGTTCCAGACATGAATACAGTGATGCCAGATATGCAACTGTGAAATGACAATATGGAGTAAAAGTGGCAGTATTAGTTGAATAAAGTAAAATTAAGGAAATATTTAGCTCAGTGGGTTAAGAGTTTTAGACAGAAAGTATTTGGAGGAAGGAATGTGGATCAGGAAAGCTTTAAAGCAACTTCTATGTAAAGAACGTCTTCTGATTATTGTAATCTTTTCCGGTATAGACTGCTTCAGGGATGACTTCTATTTGTAGGTCAATGCGAACATTAGCATCGCCATGGTTCCCTCGACAAAGCCTGTGGGATTTCCGTTGGAGTTTGGATCATTGCAGAAATAAGCTCTGTGGCAAACAAACGTTTGATACTTACACTTTTTGTTGAGCAAGGTAATCGTCACAAATGAGCGCCACTTGTATGATCTTTTAAGCATAAATTCAATCGCTATTAGTAAAATGCTAACGTCAGGCTGTAAACAAACAACACCACAGTCACATGACTTCAGCATCACCGTTTTCTGCGTGATGAAGCTAATTCACAAGTGGGATGTTTTCTGACGTATTTTATGTTGCAGATAAAAACGTGGAAGTCTCTTAAGCTTGTGTTAACCGCTGACCTTATTTCAAGCAGCTAACCAAAAACTCACTGACTTCGAGACGAGGGAACCGGAAGTACTAAAATGCTAACTCACTCCTGGGATTTAGCACTCTATTGCTTAGGCACGATGAAATTTGTTGAGTTCATTGTTAATTTAGCCTGATACAGACGCTCATGTTACAACGACACCCTTGACATTTTCACTCTGGCTAACTTAGACTCTCCTCAGATCTATAAAAGGTCACATTCTCATCATGCCTGTCTCTGCCATGTCATTGCACACCTACTAAGTGTTGTGCTTTGTCAGTGCGATTTGTGTTTGCTCTGTTAGATGGCACATCATAGTGTTTGCACTCTGGGAAGCAAACACACTCTGGTATGCTTGCACGCCCAACTGACTTTAAGTACGGCAAGCTGTGTGGCTGAGTTTTAGCTTTTTTATTTTATTTTATTTTATTTATTTTTTTTTGCATGAACTCTACCTTGTGTCAGACTGGGCATGGAGGCTGGCGTTGCTTCACCCAAAGCTGCTTCTCATTGTGCTAAGTGTTAGCGTTGTCCTAGAGGGTGAGAGCAGCACCTCTTTGCTCTCATTTGTAGTAATCGGAGCCATACACGTCTAATGAGCTGATGTTTTCTGCCAAGGAGCTATTAAACCGCAGTGTGAGCTTACCACATTAAAACATTTCTTACTCAGGCATAGAAATGTGCAAATGATGGTTCATGTTAGTGATTACAGTAGCTGCAAAACACAAAACGCTGCATGTGTGTAGTCATGTTTGTTTTATCATGTTTGTCAGGATGACACACCTACACTCTTCCATAGAGCAGTCATTTGCAGTGTTGCTACAGAAAGATACATCATTAAACACGTAAAGGGGCATGTTGGGTGACATATGTCACATCCTGTTATTGCATTTGAGTCATGAATTAAGCACTCGCAAATGCATTGTGCAATGGCTTTGGTGGAAGCCAGTTCTTCTCGCATATTGCCAGTTTCAGTGTTCAGTTATGGAGCCCCCCGCTGTGATCATTACATTCCTTCATTCGTGTGTCAGCAGTGTCCACACTCAGGGCCCCCAGGGAGAGTTATGTACTGTTGGCAAGACGAAATTAAACGCAGACATCTTAAAACACGAACAAGGGGCCGGTGTATGAGGTTGTTCAATCTTCTCAAAATGATATAGTCTGAGAACATGCCTGTGGATGTTTAGATTTCATTGAAGGTTGGTCGTCCCCGGCTGAGACAGATTACTTGCAGCCAGCCTCTTGCTTTTGTTGCGAATGAGAGTGCAGCGTGGAGAGGGCAGAGTGACACGGTGCGGCACACACAACCCACAGTTTCCTTCTGGTATGAACTCTCAAGGTTCTTTTAATATATCTGAGGTATTTCTAATCTTTTATCTGTTGTGTGCCCTTCAAGTGCACTCATAGACTCAATCATCAATTTAATAT